CGGCGGCGTCCCCGCCTCGGGGTCCGGCTGCACCGCTGCCACCTCCGCCGGCTCCTCATGCAGCGCCGCCATCTTGCGCCGCCTTCCATTCGCCGGCGGCGCGCGGCCGCCGCCAGGCGCGGCCGCCCTTGCGACAGTGAGGGCAAAGGAAGGGCAGCGCTGCCGCTGCCTCCGCAGGCGCGCGCGGCTTCGTTTTGCGACGCTGGCGGGAGCGCTTTGTGGCAGCGGGGCGCGGTGAGGGTGGCGGCGCGGGGCGGCGTGAGGGGACCGGGCGGTGTGGGCACCGCGGGGCTGCCTGCTGGCACCGAGGATGGCCTCGGGACTCGGTGCCCAGTTAATGTAATTACGGCCGGGCCGCTGAGCTGTCCGGATATTTCTAATATTGCTTCTTTTAACCGTGTTAGACAGAGATTCGGTGGTGATTGTCGAAAGGCTGAGAGGACTGGGGGTGTTCAGCCTGGAGAATAAAAGAGTCCAGGCAGACGCCGCAGCACCTTCCAGTGTCTAAAGGGCTACGAGAGAGCTGGAGAGGCACTTTGGACAAGGGCGTGTAGTGACAGGACAAGGGAGAATGGCTTTAAACTGACAGAAAGCGGGTTTCGATTAGATATTAGGAAGAAATTCTTCACTGTGAGATTGGTGAGGCACTGGCACGGGTTGCCCAGAGAAGCTGTGGGTGCCCCATTGCTGGAAGTGTTCGGGACAGGTTGGATGCGGCTTTGAGGAATTTGTTTCAGTGGAAGGTGTCCCTGCCCATGGCAGGCGGTTGGAACTAGATGATTTCTGAGGTCCCTTGCAACCCAAACAATTCAATTATCTTACGGGATTAAAACCTTATTTTGAATGAAACTGGTATCGTGTGATTGAGAGTTTTTCGGGGAAAATTAAGCGTTCATTGGCGAGTCCTTGGGGGAAAAAATTGGGGGGGGGAAAAAAAAAAAGAAAACCACAAAACTGTGGGGTTATAAACCCAAACCGGCCGTGGCTCAGCGCACGTGCGGCAGCGCAGCCCTGCGTTCTGCAGAACTACATTTCCCAGCGTGCCCCGCGGCGTTCCCACGCAGGCGCCCCGGGCCGCGGACCGACCCGTGCCAGCCCCGGTCCGTGACCATGGAGGGAGACACCGGATCCGGGGTCCCGGCGCCGTCGGGCGGGGATGGAGCGGGCCAGGGCCAGGGCCTGGGCCCGGCCGATGAGGACCGGGACATGGAGGGGGCCCCCAGCTGCTCGGGGTCGCGCTCCCACCCCTTCGAGTTCGAGCGGGGTCGCTCGGAGTCCAGCGGCGATGAGGACGACGACGACGAAGACGACGAGGAAGAGGAGGTGGAGGAAGAGGAGGAGGAGATGGAGAGCGACACCAGGGCTCGGTTCGGAACGGATGATGGGGAGCTGGACTCGGACGACGACCGGGAGGTAAAGGGTTTGGGAAGGTGCCCGGGGCACGCCAGGCCCCGCTCCCGGCCTGCCCCGCGTGTGATAATGGACTTCTTATTATTCTTACTTTTTTTTAATTTTAATATATATTTTGTTATTACCCGAGTTCACTTCATCTGTCTCATTTAAGTGAAGCCCTTGCAAACTCTCGGCGTGGCTGAGAGGGTGGTAGACGGTGGCACGTGGGCGAGGTGAATGGTGCCATTGAGGGAAAGAAAGCCCTTTGGTCGGGCTTGGAGACGAGAGGAAACCTAAGAATCTAATGGGTCCCCTCTTTCAGACACATCTCAGATCGTCGCTATTGAAGAAATTTGTTCTTTTTTGAAATTGTGTTATTCAGTGAGGAAAGCTGTTGTGGAACTACTTGTGTGCGTTCCTGGGAAATGTTCTTCATGACCAGAATTCAAAGTAGTGAAATTTCAGCCTTTGCTTCTTTGTGTATTTGTATATTTCATAACTGTGTGTACAAACAAGAGATGACTGTCTCTTGTCATAGAAACTCTCTCTATATCTTAATTTGGGACTCCAACTGAGCATTGCTGAGCATTTTCAAATAATGATGTTCTTTGCCACCCATGTCCACTTCAAGCTTGCTGGCTATGTGATATTTTGCTAAAAGAGTTGATCCAAAAGAACTTTTCCCAAAATTATTGTTTAAAGTTTTGTTTTTAGGTAAGATTCCAGAAACAAATAGGATTGCTATTGTCAAAAAGTTCAGTTTAGAAGACTAGGTAAAAGTCTTTTAAAAGTGATATGATAAGGATATGATAAGTAACTGATCTGTTAGGAAAATCTATTCCTGTAACATATTGATCCTAACTGTTGTAAAACAGTTCAATTTAGAAGACTAGGTAAAAGTCTTTTAAAAACAAGCTCTATATGATAAGTAACTGGTCTGTTAGGAAAACCCATTCCTGTAACATACTGATCCCATTTTTTCCCCATGGTTTTAAGGCTGTGGTATTTTGGAAGCTGCAGTCAGGGAATTTCATGGCTTAGCCTGTGTATTCAAACTCTCACCAATTTTTGTTTGCAGCGTATGATAAACCTCGCAGAGCTGACCCCCTACATCCTGTGTTCCATCTGCAAAGGATACTTCATCGATGCTACAACTATTACAGAATGTCTGCACACCTGTAAGTGCCTGTCAGTTGCCTGTTTAAAGGTTTTTTTTTGCAAATTCAAACCAGTTCAGCTGTTGAAATGTTCTGAGTTCAGAAAAATAATTCTCTGTTTGAAGTGAACGTGTGTTGTGTTTATTCTGTTCTTTAAGCGAGATACGTTTGTGGGTATTTTAAGCATCAGAAAATTATTAAATCAATTAATCATGAAGTCGTCTTTCCATATTAAGAAGGAAGATGTAGGAAAAGATAAAGCCCAAGCAAGACAAAAGCAGTGCTGCTACATACCTTTTCTTAGTTATTTTTTTAAGTAGGCTCCAGGAATTTGAGTGTATAACTGAGAAAAGAAAGTTGAGTGACTCTGCTTTTAATGGACTGCAAATTTTCCTAAGCTGTTGTTGATGTGAGCTTATAAATTCACAAAACCCCATAAGCTCCTGTGGAAGTACCAGTTCAGATACAGAAACAGTGGTCTGCACCCATGGGACAGTTTGTCCATAATCTCCTTAGTGGAAATAGGTGGGTAATAAATAACTAATTTCAGTGTGTTTGTCTTGTTAGTTTTCCCCCTGGATCCGAGTGCCAGCAGTTTTCCCAGTGCTAAAGAACTGTTTTCTCTCCAAAGTAACTCCAAAAACACCTTCTGTGAAGCTCTTTCAGCCACACCTATGTCCATACCTGAATCCAAGAATCCTGGTTTACTAGATCTCCCAAACATTCACACTGCATAGATGGAAAACTTTCTTTCTCTCTCTTTTTATTGCCTCCTTTGTTAGAGCACTACTCAGTAGTTTGTTCTATAGCACGAAGTATTCAGCACAGTTTGCAATTTACAAAGAGGCACAGCTGTTAGTAAGGACAGCATAGAGTTGCAAATGCAGCTGTGGTGGCGTCTTAGAGCTCTCCTGGTAAATGTTATAGAAAAGTTTCCTCTGCTCAGGCAGATGGGGAGCTGACTTGATAGTAGGTTATTTATTATTCTAGGTATTTCCACTTAGTAGCATTTTTTCCAAGTTTTTAAAGGACTTGTAAAATACAGTGAAAATGGCAGAGTTAGGATTTCTTACCTTGTTTCTACTGAAAGTGTTTGTAGGCTGCTTTTCAGCAGTCAATATTCTGCCTTATCCCTACTCATGTTCTACATACACATTGAACTCTCACCCGTGCATCCATTGGATTAGGAGTGTTCAGTGACTTCATTTTGTCTCTGACAAATTTTGTATGGCAAGTCTGGGTGTATTGACCCCTTCTGCCTGAACAGATGGCACTGTGTGATGGACGTGTGACTCCTGTGGGGTTTCTTTTCTTTACAGTTTGCAAAAGCTGCATCGTGAGACACTTCTACTATAGCAACAGATGTCCAAAGTGCAATATTGTTGTACATCAGACACAGCCCCTCTATAATATCAGGTAATAAATTTGTCCCATTTTATAGATTTACTACTTGCTTTTAAATGTTTTGTTCTACAGACTTGTAGTGCTTCCTTTTTTTAAACAAAGGAATGGTTACAAGAAGCACATTGTGTTCTTTACTACTATGAGTTTCACCACAATTAATAAGATAAAAAAAAACCCCTCTCTTTATTGTTTCATCTAGTTTGTATCCATTTCTAGGGTTTGTTGCCCCTGCCCTAGTATTTTTATGCATTTGCTCAGTGTTACAGGTGATACAAACACTTAACCATTTGGTTTGATTTCCTTTTAAGGTTAAGACTTTTAGGCATGGTATATCTATTAACTCAAAAAAGTGAGTTTTAGTTTCTTGAGCTGTTCATGAAGGGTGGTACTGTCACTCCATGTACATCCCATTTCATGTTATATTTGACATTGTTGTTACAGTTTACTGAAACCATTTTTTCTTGCACCAAAGACTCTTTTTTATTTGTTTCTGATTTCATAGACTGGACCGACAACTGCAAGATATAGTCTATAAATTAGTTGTCAACCTGGAGGAAAGTAAGTCCCTTTCTCTGTTACATTACTATGTAAAGATTGAAAAGAACAGAAAACTCAGTAATTCAAAGCCTTGTTTCTACTCTGAACTCTTCAAAATAGTTTTGTGATGTTTGGTTATAAGTTGTAATGAATTAACTGTGACAACTGGCATCTTTCTGGCTGCTAAATGCTATTGTGATAGTGATGTGTACTTCATGTTATGAAACACAGCTGTCACTGTATCCAGATAGACATGCAGATAATATTTCACAGTTGTTCCTCTTACTTGAGTAGAACTATATCATATCATACATTTTGTGTAAAAAGTTCACCTAGCTCAATAGAAAAAAAAATACCAAGTCCAATTCTCCCAAATGCTTTTGTCTTTTCTTCATTGCCATATTTACTTGTCTGATTTTAGATGTGTTTACTGTCTCATCTCATTTATCTTTGGCTTTGGGAGCCAGTGATCCTGCAGAGTCCCCCTGGATGGGCGGAGTGAAATATGCAATCCAGTGGATATGTGTGGTCAATAGATGGCATTGCTTTGTATGCCATGAGCATATATGTAAAAAATATATGTATATATAAAAATATATGTATATGTACAAATTAGTATAAAAAGAACTGTGCTCTATGTGAACAGGTTATAAAATACCATGTCATGTCACGAGGCATGACAGCCAGAAGGATACCAGTTCTTGCAGCTATTTCAGTATTATTTATGGCCAGTTTCTTTGATTTTTTCCTAGTTTTTACTAGTAAAATTTTAGTTTGGTTTCTTAAGCATCTCAGCCTCATGAAATACTGGTGATGATGAAGGTCTGTAGAAACTTGGAAAGTTTTTGCTGTTCTAACCATTGAAAATTGGTCAATGAGAATAGATATTCTCAGCATCTGAACCATTTCTGTCTGTATTCTGCAATTTTTTTCAGGAGAGAAAAAACAAATGCATGACTTCTATAAAGAAAGAGGATTAGAAGTGCCCAAACCAGGTGAGCTGTAATCACTTTAAGAAACACTATTAAGAAAATACTTACCATATAATTTTTTCTTAAGGGCTTTCTTTAAAATATTAGTTCACAACTGAAGATAGAAGTACTACTGGAAATATGGGATTCTTAGTTATCTGGAAATTTTAACTTGTCACAGATCTCAGATTACAAAAATAGATGAATTGGCAGCACTTAAACCCTGATCATGGCTGAATTATTTTAAACAGCATATTTTGCTTACAACCAGGAAATATATATAAAATATGCATTAATATTATTTTCTGGCTATTAATAAGTAATAGACATTACAAAGGAGTAAAAAGAGAGCTTCAAAGTCTGCTAAACAGTGGGGGATTATTCTAATTATTTTACGTCTTCCTATCAAACAAAGCTCTTTGGAGAGTGCTGTGCTGAAAGCTATTAAAATTCTGATTCAGATACTCAGCATAGAATGTAGGAAGTGCTGATTTAGTAATAAAAAAAGAGGATTAATTGGAATAATAGGCTTTTTTACCTGGTGAGCTATCCTGTTTTGCTCAGTGCATGTTAGTATCTTATGCTGCTTTTATTTCAAGTTGTCTTTGCATTTTGGCTGCTTGAATATTTTAGCTGTCCCACAGCCAGTTCCACCGAGCAGAGGAAGACCCCGAAAAGTTCTGGGCTCAGTGTTCCGGATCCCACCAGAACTTGACATTTCCATACTTCTGGAGTTTATCGGGTGAGTTGTGGGCAAATGTAAGAGCTGCTGACTCACATGAGGGTGCTGCTAGCATGTGGTGAACCATTAACTGGCTCTTGATTTCCATTAAATGTGCATTTTTTCCATCTCAAGTAGTAGTGGGGAGCCAGTTTTAACTTACAGTGCAATAGTGACAGCTAGCTATGCACAGGTAGATGATGCAGATAATTATATGTTTAATATGTAGCTTCCTAGGAAGTATAGTTTTAAAATATAGATGTGTTTTATTTTTAGCAAGTCGTGCAGTCTCAGTAAACTGAGCAGAGAAATCCCTGTTCCAGTCCCTGATCCCTGTAGGTGGCAGCACCGTTAATGCTGGATGTGCTCACAGGGAGGATTCAGTGGCTTTCAAATAATAGAAACCTTTTAACATGGTGAATCCGTGTACCTGCCTTAATTTCAGCTTTCGTTTTCTTCATGCCTGGCTTGCAGAAGTCAGTTTAGACCTCAAACCTAGTAAACTTGTATCTGCCTGAGAAACAAGATGACTTTTGAATCTGTCTGTCATATTTAGTTTTTTGGTAGTTTTATTTTAAATGTCCAGCATTGGCAGCAAAGCAGGTAATACTCTGCAAATATCATCTATACCATGTGGAACTGTCCACTGTAGGTTTTGGTTTTTTTTATTTATATGGAGGGAAGCACAGACTGTTTCTAACAAAAAAAGATGATGGCTTAACACCATCTACTTTGTATTTCATTTTAGTGACGTTTTTAACCTTTGATAAATTTATATGGTCAAAATCAAATATATTATCTTGGCAATGAGAGATTAATAAAGCATTTTGGAGAAAGAAAACTTGGAATAGATTGGACCAGCCAAAAGAAACTGTTACCTTGAAAGTCTCACTGTCTGTGTTGTGTTTCTATGGATTATAATGTGGTCACCAGTGGCTGTGGAACTGTACCAAAGAAAATGACAGCTGTAGTGGAAAAGCTTTTTTTATGTTTTTTCTTAGTTCATGACAGATTTACTTAGCTTTGTCTGATACCTGGTACATATTTAGAGGTGGAGATACTCAATCATAGTAACTTGAAGTGCCACATTAATGTGTGGCCTGCCCAAGTGTTGTATTTGCTTGCTATAACAAATGGTCAGCTGATTTATAGCAATGTTTGATTTTTTTTTGCCCTCTTCAGTGCAATGAAAATACTGCAGTGTTTCCTCATATGTACATACTTGCTAATGCAATGCAAAAATAATGAACTATTGTGTATTGGCCTTAATTAATTGAGCAGTTTGCACATTGCACTACAAGAAAGAGATAGGTGATCAGTGGTAGATCACATGCTCAGGCTGTGCAAATCAGTGAACTTGGCTGAAGCCAGCTGGAGATGTGGTTATTTGCCACCTTTGTGTGTATTTCACATTCCAGAGAATCACATGCTGCTTTCCTGAGTTCCTGGATGGCATTAGCATTAATACTGTCACGTGAACAGTCTGGAAGGCCAACATCTTGCCCTGGGAACCCCTGAGGTGGTTAGGTGTGTTCTGTCAGTCACTTCTTAGGTACTGTCTGTTAAGGTTCCAAATATCAAGGATCATGAAGTATGGATGTTTAAGCAGCATCAATATTACAACCTAGTCCTATGAAAATTAGTGTTGTGTTGTATTTAAAAATGGCTTTAGACTGCATTGGGTTTTATTCACATTTTATGTAGAGAAACCTTAACATCCGAAATAGCTGAATTAACAAGAAAAATGGAGCAGAAATACAAAGGGTAGGAGAAAATGTATATAAATTCAATCCAAAGTTATTTTATGTATAGCAATTTAATGAAAGGAGGAGCCTGAGTTGGGAAAATAACTTGGATATGCAAGACTCATAAATCAATAAGTCACTGTTATAATAAAGAGCTTGAGGATATTAATAACTTACAATCTTAGCAATGTTGACTATTTACTCTTTTGTTTTTTCAGAGCTAATGAAGGCACAGGGAATTTTAAGGTACAAATATGATTAAATTTTTGTCTTACAGTTTACTTCAGGAATAATTATAACCTGAGTATATTTTGTTTGGTTTTCTTATACTGAATGCAGCTGGAGCTTTTATCAGAATAATAATAACCAATCTTGTATTACAGTGTATTTCAAACCTATTGTTGTATAACATCACACCTACCCAGCATTTTTTTATTCTTTTTATCTTCGTATTTCACAGTATTTTTTTCATTATCTTTTTTCATCTTCAGTATCACCTCCTACCCTTTCTGTCTCATATTTGCCCTTCTTTCTGCCATGTTTTTCCTGGGGTTTTTGGGCCGCACAGAACATGGGCCTGTTTAAAACGTTTAAAAATTAGCCAGTTGCTTATTATTTTTTACATGTTTAAACAGCATCTGGAGTCTTAATACATATTTAGTCCATTCCCTATGAGGTAATCTGCAGGTAGATCAGAGAAGGGTTCAAAAATATAAGCTGTTTGCCTGTTACTGGGCTGCTGCTTGAGTTTGGAGTTTATGAGGGATTAGTGCCAAAACCTTTGACTTTTTACTTAACTTTAACTTAAAATCTTTATTTATTCTGTGCAGCCTTTGGAAAAGAAATTTGTGCGTGTTTCCGGGGAGGCAACAATTGGACATGTGGAGAAATTCCTCAGAAGAAAAATGGATCTAGACCCTGCTTGTCAGGTACATCCTTGCTGTAGCAGTCACAAGTTGTCTGTGCTTTGGACAGACATTTCCATTGTTCATTAGATTTTAGAAGTAATGTTAGAATTTTTTATACAGTAAGGATTAAAAAATTAATTGTGTGCAATTTTGTGATCTGCAAGGAACAACTCTTCTAACTCCTTTGCAATCTATTCAGATTTTCACAGTACTGTACTAACTGGACAGAATTTCTAAAGTGCCTTGTAAAATTTCAGCCAAAGAAATTCAAAGCCAAGAGATTCTGCTGTTTCAAAGGTAAAACTGGACAGGAAAGTGGGAATGTGGGAACGTGCAATGGCATGATGCAAGCTGCTGCAAGGTGAATAATAATAAAATTTAACTGAAGGCAAACAAGGGCTAAGAAAGAATTATACTATGGATGGATGTGTTGAAATGTGTATGAATGCAAATACAGACACTTTCCTCCAAATAAGAATTCAGAGGAGCAGAATATGGTACAAAAGAATTTAGCTTCATATTTCTCAACCATTTTGAGAGGAACTGCATGTCAGAACCGATTTCCAATTCTTCAGTGTATTTCAGCAGCCATTCAGTTGGGAAAGTGCAAGAGTTCTGTAATGTGTAAATAATTCTTAAAGCTGGCAATTCCTGGAAGATGAAGCTGATGTGAATAGGCAAATGGTAGCAGTTTAGTGCTGGGTTTGGAGTTAGGGCTGTTTTCGTACAGCAGTAACTGCGGGACAATACTGCATGACTGTGTGCCTCAGTAATGAGTATTCAGACTTCTGTAATTGTGTTTGCAAATGGATTATGATTTAAATTCCCTAGTTTATCTGAAGTTTAAGGCTTCATTTATTTTCATCTACCATTTGAGCTGGCAGACTGTCATTTCCTCTTTCTGATGCTTTTTGAACTCTGTGCTTTGGGCAGCAACTAATTTTCTGTATGTGTTTATGTGTACGTCTAAGTGCAGGGTCTCTCTTGAATATTCTTGCTGGAATTTGTTGGGAGAGGGTGAAAGTATTTTTTTTAGACACTGAAATTACCAGTAATAGCTAAGTAGGTAACACCTTATAGGAGCTAAATACAGGTTGTGGTGTTTGGAACCCAGTAGATTCTTGTCTTTGGCATCAGAAGTTTCCTTTAGAGTGTGATTTCCTTTGAGCTCCTCCTGCAACAGCAGTATTCCTTCCTGCTATTTCTTCTGTCAGGATGAGAGAAACTGCTGAAGGACTTGCAGCTCAGCTGCTTGGAATTCATTAATGTGGCTGATGGAACAGAAAGGTTCTGTTACCAGATGTGCATTCCTAAAAGTGTTTAAACTGCAGTCTGGGGGGAGTCTGGGAGAAAGGACTCTGTGCTCATACACAGTGTAGTTGTTGATGCAATTTCTTTATGCCAGTCTTGGACCCTGGAATAAAGGCATCCAGGGCTTCTGGAAAGTAAACAGCAGCTGGAGGAAATGGGAAATTCTGACTGCTTTTTAAATAACTAGCTCTAATACTTACACCAGTTTCTAAAACTTTGTGTTTTCCTTGTCCTTCCCTGGGTAGTATGAGTTGGTATAGAAAATACTGATGGAAGTCTACTGCTTTCTGGGCCAGATTCTCCCTTAGGATGAGTCATATGTGAGGTGTCCCTTGTATGAACTTCTATTTTTATATCTGTCTTACTTAGTGAGCATGAATTTATAATTGTCTGTTATGGTGGCTTTTAGAGAAATAGCTCTAATAGCAGACATGTCACCAAAAGAAAAGAAATGGCATAATGGAAAACCTACTTTATTTTAATAAGAATTTTAACAGAAGTGATTGAGTATTCAGCAGATGCACCTTAATGCTTCCTTTCAACAAAATGTCAAGCTGCAGTTACTGCTGTCTCAGGCAATCAGTACTAGTTGGCTTCAATTTTACCAGTCATTTGAAATTCTAGTAAATTCATAGAACTGGTGGTGCTGGTGCCGCTTTTATAATGGAACATATTAATTCCTCTGTGATACAAGGGTTCCTCTGAGACACAGAGGAATTTCACAACTTATTTTTGCACTGACCTGAGATTTTTTTTTTCATTGTATGTTTTATTCTCTTGTCTTTATAGAATGAGTGCTAGCATAACAATTAGCAGGCAGAATTTCAGGTTTTGGGGCTGGAATTAGGAGATTAAGCATTAGGTATTTGGAGAACTAATACAGTAAATGTGAGAAATTCTTCTCAATTTATTATTAGACACTGGCTCTTTAATGACTGCTGTTTGAAACTGGAGCAGCAGGTACAACAGTGTACTTTCAAACAAGCATTCCAATTCTGTTTTGAGAGATTGTCAGCAGCTGCCACTGTCTGTTTGCATCCTGCATTGGTCAAACAGATTAGATTTTCTATTTCTGTAGAATATATAAAACATTTATGTGGTATGTTTCATTGGGAGCAAGATTGAGTTTTCAGTGCCTTATGCTATAAAAATTGTAAAAGTAAGCTTAAAAAGCAAAAGTAATTAAACTCATATCTGGAAAGCAAAGCAGTCATGTTTGTCTTCCTGCAGGAATAACTGTAGAGGTTAAAAATGCATGGGAGATAGCAGAAAGAACTGCAGACAGTTTTCCAAAAGGAAAAGAAATACATTTTTCAGGTACTGTGTTAAATACATCAAATGTTGATGTTAACTATATGAGTATATATGCATCAATAGCTAATCAGTATTTACTGTTATGTCCACACAAATTTTTACTTCCTGGAAGCTAAAAGCAGAAGTGCTACTAAGCAGTTTACATATTCTGCACATTAAGAATCAAACACAAAGAGAGTGTTCTGCTTCATTCTCATACAATACAGGTGGTGCAGTAAATTAGTTCTTTTTTGAACCTCTGAGGGGTAGAATTCCTGCATTCCCAAGTCTCAGAACAATGTGGTCTGCCAGCACAAATCTTACTAAATCTTTCCATGAAGAACAAGAGAGAGGTAGTGGGTCAGCCTGCAGAAGAAGATAAATCTGGGGGAGTGAATGGCTGCAGCACAGAGCTCATCCTGTGGTGGAAAGTGGCTGTGTAAGAAAATACGTCATGGTATTGCAGTGTGCTCCCCCACTGCTGCAGGGACAGAGCTTAGGCAGTTCCCTTGCAGAAAGCTGTGGGACTGCTCATTGTCAATGCTTTTACCTTCAATTTTGAGGTCTTGTCAGTTCACAAATGAGAGCACTCTCATTTCCTTATCTAGAAATTGCTCATGGGGAAAATGTAAGCAAGCTCCAGTTGAGAGAGAAAAACCGTGCTGTGTTAGCTGCTCTCATTTGGAGCATTAGAGACTGGATTTACATTAAGTACTGTAAATACATGGTAACTTTATAGAGATTATTATTTCATAATAATCAAGGCAAGGAGTTCAAAATACCTGATTAAGGTTTGTGTTTTCCACAAAATTATTGTTTTTGTGGGCAGTTACTAAATGAAAGTACCCCCTGTGGAACTGCAGGCACCACTGACAGAGTTCAGCTGCAGTGGAGGACAGTGCATGGAACTGCTGAGAGTGCCCTGCAGCTGCACCCCAGGAGTACTGACTGAGTGCATGCTGAAAGAGGACTGCCATGTAACTGCTGACGATGACATGCACCAAGATGCTCCTTTCTATTAAGGCACTTCTTCCACAGTATTAAGTGAAAATAGTCAGGTGTTTTCTCCCTCGAGATAAGAGGGGTGGCAATGGCGCTTTTTTTTTTGGTGGCACAAACAAGTTTCCCTCTTTTGCAACTGATGAATGATGGCAGATGTTTGTGTGATCTTTTTAATACATGATCTGAATTCCCATTAAATTCATCACAGCTATTACTAAAGAGCTTGTTTCGGTGGACACACCAAACTGAGTGAAACAATAATAAATCTGTCCTCTCTGTTCAGCAGTGAGCCCAGGTCAGGGCCATGAAAGGCTTTAGGGCAGTGCAGTAGTGCTGTGAATGCTAAATACATTTGGATGACAGAAGTAAAGATGACTTTAGTGTCTAACATGCTAGCATTGAGCTCTGCTAATAAAATTGAAAGGGCTTGGATACGGTTTTGCTACTCCAAAGGCAAGTTGGCCTTAACTATGCTTGTGTTTGTTCACAGGTGGATATAATCTGTGGTGATCACCTGCTGGAGCACTACCAGACACTGAGGGAGATCCGTCAGGTCATAGGAGAGAGTGCAGTACAGGTACGTGGCAGCTGGGACTTTATTCCAGGTTTTCTTTCAAAACAGAAGACCTTTCTTAAGCCCTCAGGTAGCACCAGCTTGTCTGAAGAGGTAACTAAGAAAAATCTCTCCAGTTTATGCAAAATCATTTTTATCTTGTAAGTAGAGTTGACAAAGTGTACCATGTTCTTCTTGGTCTCGTGATGTTCTGGATATGAGGGGTTTGTGTTGGGTTTTGTTTTGGGGCTTTTCCCTCCCAAAACAAGTTGCTGTCTTACCAATGATAATATGTACCAGCCATTCTTTCAATTAAGATTCCTTGTTTTTCCTCTTCGGCAATTGCACCTCTGTGGGAAGTCAGAGGACAAATCCCAAATAAGACTATCCTTGTGACTGGGTCAGGAGAATAAAATTGCTTATAAAAACACAAACCACAGATAGAGGGTAATGAATGCAGTAAATTTGCTTGATGCATATTATATTGTCTCTGGTCACAGCATGAGTGTATGGCCAGCTATTTCTTGTTGATAACTTGCTGTCTTTAGTGTTGCTGGCTTTGCAAATAAGAATGCATTTTTTAAAAATTCTTTGTGAATCTTTTCAAAGCATCATTAAAGGACCACACCATTTTAGAAGTACTGCAGAAACAGCGAAGTACTCTGCCAAGTGCATCATTAAATAGAGATGTAAACTTGTGATATATGGTAAATTGTATCTTAATCTGAACTTGGGAGTCTGAAAAGTTAATATTTAATACAGTAGGAAGAAATAGGATTAATTTGGTATTTTATTTGGAAAGCAATCTTAGCAGATAACAGAAGGGCTAAATAGGAGCAAAATCAGCTCTCCTCACTTGTTTGTGCACACACATATGCACAAACATTGACATTTAAAATTCCTGCTGAGCTCTCTTATGCTACAGGAAGGCCTCTGCGTTGGGGGCAGGAAGTAAAAAGCTGAATTTGAGATCTCTTGGATTTTGCATCACTTGTACCTGATTTGAATCACTAGGAGGTCCCAGAGTCAGGACAAAGGTGTTTGGCTCATGTTAATATTGGCAAACAGTAAAATCTGAGGCTTGTGCCGTTTCTGCAGTTGAAGAGAATAAATGCCACACCTGATGTCTTAGCTGGTTTGTAATAGCATGAAGAAGAAATTAAAACATAACCTAATCCAGTTTGGGGAGCAGGGGATAGAAACTGGGGGGAAGTGGGTACTGGTAACCAGCTTGTTTCTGACACTGAGTCATTGTAAGTAAATTCAGCAATCAGCACAAAGTGATGGAAGTGCTCTCTACTAACAGCTTCAGTAAATGGCAGTATATTTCTCAGTCCAGAGGTATGGTCATATGGTTTTAGACTTGAGCTTAGCACAAAGGCTTTTCATGTATGAGAAATGCTCTTGGGGGAGCACTTCAAGGAATACTGCAGCAGTTTCATTTCTTGTCAGAGCTGGGTCTGCCTGATTGATGTTTGGTGATAAAGTACCAGTCAGCAGCTCCATGAAGAGAGCAGTTGCCTTGGGAGGCATTCTCCACTGATGTTTCAAATCTCATTTATTACCAAATCAGTATGCTAGCAGTTAATTCTCTCAAGGCTTCTCTATTGGACAAATAAATAGAAAAGAAATATCCTGGCTTATTGCAAAGTCTTGTTTTTTCATTGTCACTTTCAACGGGAAATTTGAAAGGCCAAGTTCATCTTTAATTTCTCTTCATATTGTTAAAAGATCTCTAACTATGCAAATAGTTACAGTAGTAATGTTGCTTCTTTTTTGATATTGAAATAATTGTGACATTTTCATGTTCTTTAGTCTAACATTATAATATTTCTTTAGAAATAAAGAGGGTGCATTTCTACAATTAACCTTGGAAAATATTTTTAGATAATTAGCCATGAAAAAAAATCCTAATGAATGGGTCAAGTCTAAAAGGGTGAGGGTTATTTGTTTCTCACCAGGATCTGAAATTCAGTAAGGGGCACAGTTGTCCTGGCCAGTGAAACTACAAGTACAGAGGAACATTTGATGAATTTTACATTAAACTCCAAGGGCATCTTGTGCCTTTGTAACTTTCCAGCCTTTCCAAATCAGTGTTGGAGCTTGGAATGTCCCTAACAGCTCTCAGCAGAATGCTGAGACACTCTTCAATACTGCTGTTGTAATTTACAGGTTTCTGAGGTTCATTGTAGATGCTTCATGCAAAGAAAAATGCTTCAGTAACTACTTTGCAACAGAAAGTCATTTGAAGGAATAAACATTGGGCTCTTTTATTTAGATGAGTACGACCACTGTTAGAGGAGAAAAATAGCTGCTATTCTGAGTCACATTTTTCACTTGCAAGTTCATTCGTGTCAGCAGTTACTCCTTTTGCTGGGAAAAGTGATTATAAAAATGCAGATAAGTTTCTCTTTGGCAAATATATTAATTTTAACGTGCATTCTTTGGTAGCATTTGCAGCATCACATATGTTGTGTGTGATTTATTGTTCTGAACTATAATCACTGTGGTGCTCTTAGTGGCTTTGACTTACGTTGAATGGTTCTTAAGATTTGTTTGTGAAGATTTTGGATGTTGTATTTTTTTACTACTGACTGGCACTGTGTAATGATGCCTTAGAGCCTGAGTAGGTGTAAGCTAGCAGGATTTTAGCTCTTCTGGATCCATTTCTGCCTTTCCAACATGTGTGGGAAGACCAAGTGTGATCTGATGATAAAATAAATATTCCTGACACTGATCCCATAGTAACCTATTTGGGTTGTTTTAATTGAAGTAAATAGGCAACTAATTGTAATGGTTGTATGTAATCAAATAACATGTTCATTTCTGATAGTTGATAGAAGGCTAAAAAAGAATCAGGAATAAATCTTGTTTAATCTTGTAAATGTCAAGATATTTTGACATTTCTGAAATTGGGTGGTTGGTTAAATCTTCCTAATTAGCTGAAAGTAGGATTTTGAGCTCTGTTTAGGGCAAAAACATGAAAGAATCACTGACAGAATTTATGTAATAAGAAATAACTTTGCTTTTTCAGTTTTTTAAGCAGTGTAAAACTTGTGGACTTTACTGCAAGGAGTGATCAAAGACACTTACAGAGACTTTTAAAGGCTCAATTTTGTTACCAGACATTGAGCTCTGCCTGGAATTATGAGTTTGATCAAGTAGCTGAGAAAGGAAGCTGATTATTAACTAAATAGGAATATTCCTTCTTCCCAGTGTTACCTTCCTCCCCTCTGCTGCACAAATGCAACCTGATCCAAGCTGCTGGTTATTTTCACTTGTCTGAAGCTGGGTCCTCTCAGAGTTCTGCATCACTGATGGGTATAATGAGCTCACACATGGGAAAAGCTAAAAGGAGTAGCTTCCTTGATGTCCTTGGCCCTTGGCACAGAGACTGGGCAGATTAAAATGGTCTCTTTGTAGCTCTCACCTTTTTGTAACCCAATGCTACTGTGCTGGTTTTTTGGTCTCCTGAGCTAGGCAGGAAGAACTGTGCTCTAATTTAATTACTGTGACCTTCTAGCACACATTTCCTATGGAAGTGTTCTACTCTTTGCTATGGGATTATTGAATTGGGAAAGTGGGGCACTTTCTGTTGTTGCTGCTCTTAGAACATCATAAGGGGTGTATGCTCTGATGTTTTGGGCTGTCAGTTCCACTCTGAAATTTATAGTTGGGTGTAACAGTTGGGATCCTTTGCATTTTTTTAGGTCAGGGTCACAAATGTGTGTCAAAGGACACTGGAGAGCTTTGCTTCTCTTTTGTGCCTGTGTTAGCCTTGAGATTTGTAATGGGCAGTGAGAGCTCATTCTCTGTTTGCACTTCCTTTTAATAACAGTACCTGGAGAAAGCGGCCCAACATAGATAGAAATGTGTAATACTTTACAAGTGAATAATTACAGAGGAAGAAGTGCCAGTACTGGGGTAACTCCCAGCTTCTCTTTGTAGAAAAGGAATTGCAGTGGGTTTGGCCTTGGGTTTAACAGGGCTATTTCCTTTAAATATCCTACTGCCAAATGTACCGTTTCAAAATTATTCATCAAAGAATACATTGTAGCATTTTTTTCTTGTATAAATATTTATTTCCTTTAAGAAACTGGAAAGTAGGAAAAACTGGTTTTGACCAGAGGAAAAACTGGTTTTGACCACAATTTTTCTCCAAAAATAAAGTTTTGAATGTGTCTTATTTTCTCTTTTGAAGGAACTAGTGGGCACAAAGACTAAGTACCTTTGGGAAGATACAAAAACGTTTTTATGTGCCAAGAGGTTCCTGAGTAACCTCTTAGAACCTGTTCTGGCTTGCAATGCTGCCATCCCAATTTATGCTAATCACCTAGTGAGTTAAAGCTCCTGTATCCTTTCAGGAGTTGGCAATGGGCTCCTGGTTATTAATAGGGTAAGAAGGTGAAGAGAAGTTAGTGAGTTGGTACTAATACATTATCTTATAGCCTGTGCCTTAACACATAAAAACATCTGAAGCAAAATATAGTAAAAAATCTGACATGTCCATTGGTACTCATATAGTTCTCTCTTCAAAAAATAACTTTTTTTAAAGTCTGTCCATATAAGTAGGTGTAATGCAATGTCAGGTTCCCAGTGGGTCTGTGGTGGGAGCAGAGTGCTGGGCCTTTCAGCAGCTGCCTGTGAATTCAGTGACATAAGTAAGACTAACAGAAGTGTCCTGTTTCACAGGTGAAAGGGATTTTTTGTTATGTCAAGCCGTCTTTGAAGAGGAGAAACATGAGCTAACAAACTAATAGTTTGTCATTTGAGGTTTTTTTAATCCAATGCATTTATTACTTTATAAACGTATATAGTAGTAGTCTGGACTCTTGTGTTACAACTTTTGGCAGCACTTTTTAGAACTACTTAATAAATTACATTTTTTTCTGCTCCACAATACCATGTGGAAATCAGCACAACTTGTAAACAAGAGCCTATTATATGATCATAATGCCATTATAACTTTATTTTAAAAGCAGTACCAGATTTTACTTTTTTTAAACACACTTTTCCATCTCAAAGAGGAGAGGGGAATACAGTTATTTGTCTTGATACTTCAAAACTTGCATTCTCCATATGGAAGGGACACGGTGTAAATTGGTGAGATTGTACCTGGGGTCCTGCCATGCAGCATTTGTACCAGATGGTGACAGAAATTCCTTGTGGAGAAGGGAAAGTGCTATTCTGAGACTGTTTCTTTCTCTTCTCTCTAGGATGGTCTACTTGTACTGCACTATGGCCTGGTGGTGTCTCCACTAACTTAAAGGTGTCTGGAATATCAGAAGGCAAAAGAATCTGAAGTCATGGAGCTTCTTCAGTGCTGTTTCTCACCAAAGAAGCCATTGCATTTCCTGTGGCAGGAAGCAAGTGAAAGGAACCACCACTAACTGCTGTGTGCTTGTAATGTAACGTCTGACTTCACCACTGTAAAAAATTGCAGCTTCTGTAAGTACAGCTGTAGGTGTTGCTATGCTTCATGTTACTAATTACTGTCTTCAAATTTCACTCAGCTCAGGGAAATTAAACGCTCCAAGTAGCTAATTTTTTTTTACTTTCTAAAACCACAAGATTTCACAGGGTGAACAGCCTTTTTTTCCTCTAGGCTCTGAGATTTCTCTGGCTGTCTGTCTAGCTAGAACAGTGCTCTCAGGGATGATCTTCAGTGAACAGAATAATTTGTTTTGGGGAAGAGACAGTCATTTGCCTAAAAAAAAATACTGTGATCATCTGTCTTTGGATGTGATATGGGGAAGAGGAAGGAAACTTCAGAAATGCAGACCAAAATAGGTAGAAAATAATGCAGCATAAGCATTGTTTTTTGAGAAGTAGCATTAAATTTGTTGTCTTTCTTGAAGAAAGACAATTTTGTTTGCACTGGAAATATATTTGCTGGTAGTTTGGCTTATACCAAATGGTGGATCATGCATCTCTAGTCTGAATGGAGATGAGCTGGCTGTAAGCTGGTTAAACTATGCATGAAAAAAAAATAAAAGTAGCACCTCTTTCTACCTGCTTGCCGTGTATAAAGTAATCACTGTCAATCTGCTATCATGTCATGACTTGACTGTCAGAAGCATAAATCCATTCACTTTAGCACATACCTCTCCAGCAGCTATGAAAATGGTCACTTTTCCCACTCTTTCCAAGGTGTTTTAGTGCATTGTAGTGGAGACCAGGGTTAAGTGATGTAATACCTGCCTGTTACTACCAGATTCACAGAGGACATTAGGTGACTTTAATTTTAACATGTTGAAATACTAGGTTTGGTGACAACTGTAACACTTCAGTTTTTCTTTTGTTTGAGATTTCCATGTTGTCTTGAGCAGCATTAAGGACCAGAGGGCTCTGTGTGTTATGGTCTTGCTGCATACTGGGTCATCAATGTGGGGATTCATGAAAGCTTCCACTGGGCACCAGGCTCCTTCCCTTCCCTACAGTCAGTGCAGGGAAAGGGAAGAAATTCCTTTGGAAGGCATTTCAGAGCACCTAAGTTACAGAACCATGGAATTGCTAGGGTTGGACAGGCCTCTGGAGATTGTCCAGTCCAACCTCCCTGCCAAATCAGGGCCACCCAGAGCAGGAGACACAGGAACGTGTCCAGGGGGGTTTGGAATGTCTCCAGAGAGGGAGACTCCACACCCTCCTTGGGCAGCCTGTTCAGTACTCTGCCACCCTCAATGTAAAGAATTTCTTCCTTCTTTCAGTCAGCTGGTGAGGCAGCAGCAGCAGCTGGGCTAAATCCAGGGGTGAGGGTTTGATGGAGCTGTGCAGGGGTTCTGGAGCTTGGGGACACCTGAGCAGCACCCCAAGCTCCATCCAGACCTGGAAACCCTTGGCAGCCAGTCAGGCATGGAGGGGACATTGCCAGGAGCATGAGGGACATTGAAGTGTCCCTAAGGAGCAGAGCAATCCCTTGTGGCCTCTGCTGGACCCTGTCCAGGAGCTCCTTGTCCTTCTTGTACTGAGGATCCCAGAACTGGGCACAGCACTCCCGGTGTGGCTGGGTAGAGGGGTAGGATCACTTCCCTTGACCTGCTGCCCACACTCCTCCCACTGCACCCCCAGATGCCATGGGCCCTCCTGGCTGCAAGGGCTCAGATGCATTTGTTCACTGGCAGCCAAAGAGGACTGGCTTCCTTTGTCTTAAGAAAGCTTCCATGAATCCTCCCTCAGGTCTTTACAATAAACATTGTTTTGTCTGTGAAGGTGACACCGTAAGAAAAAAGTTTTGTTTGAAGTAACTTTCATGATGCTTCTAAATATGTGACAAAAAGCCTTTTTAGCTACAAACTCCTATTTTACCTTTAAAGTTTGTATAAAAGTAGTGTTTAAAATGCAGCAGAAAATGAGATTATTTTGTAAACACCTCGTGAGTTGTGTTAATAAAAGATTATATATTGTAACAGTAAAATAAACTTTATTTTAGCCAATTTAAAATTGAGCCCTTGTGTTTCTATGCCATGTTTCTTGTGTCAGCCTCAGAATTACAGTAGATGATAGTGATACTGCTGAATGTGACTGGGGTTGTTAGAATAACAGATTTCAATTAAGAGGCTGAATGGTGAAGGGTAATTCAATAGCAGAGTCTCCACTGGAGCTGAGCATGGTATTGTTAGCTGGAGTAACATGAAATCTCTGGGACTCTCCTTTTAATGAGGATTTTAGTGAGAAATAGCTCAGTAAAGAAGTCAAGATGATTTTTACATCGAAATATAGGAGAAATAATTGTGTGTAGTTAAAGGACCCCTTTTTTCATCAACAAAAACATCTTTTTGTGAAAGCCACATCTCAGTTATTGTCTCTCATGTTTCTGGCTGTTGTTCTTGAGTCCCTGTGAACTGAATCTTTCTCTGCCACTGGAATCAAGGCATGGTTCAAATACTCAGTATTTTCCATTATCACTCAGGGGTTTGTTTTCAAATTTATAGCTCTGTGCTAAAAAATCATTATCAGTATAGTCACATTTTACATTGCAAATTCACCCTTAACCCTGGCTTGAACTTCACATCCACAGAAGGGCTCATGTGCAGAGTTTAACAGCTGTATTGAAGCTGATAGTTAATTCAAATTAATGACATTCTAGGATGCATTTGACTTGCATAGCCCCAAGAGGGCTGTGCTGCCACTGGCACTAATGTCAGTGTCAAATTCTGATTTTCAAAAAAAAAAAAAAGGCCTCCTGGATATCTTCAAAGGATTTTCCTGTAGGGTAAATCACATGCCAGCTAAAATGCTGAAGGCAAACACTCCCTTCTTCACCCTTTTGGTGGCTTAATGAGGAGCATTGAAGGCCTGTAGCTGTGGTGTTTTTGATATGAATGCTTAGTGACCTGTTATTTCCCTTTTGTCCACTTCTCTCTATTTCTTCCTCACCTGCCTTCAGAAAGTGTATTTTTAGCACAGTTTTCCTGGCTGAACATCCTGCTTTCTTCCACCTGAAGGCACTGATGTGTTCCTTCTCTCCAGAGCTGCAGGTCCCCTGGGGCACATCCGTGCAGCAGGGTGACCTTTAGCTATTGCCAGGGCTGAGCTGAGGCTCTGTGGTTTCCTGCATAATCAGCCTGCTTGCTTTAAAATGTGCCAATCTTCTCTCAGCTCTGCTGCTGCTGTTTTATTTCTGTTGGTCTCCTTTTAACCTTGGCTTGCCTCCAGCCACTCTTGGTGCTGATGAGAGAAGAGCATCTGTAACAACAGGCCCTCTATGGGATGGCAGCTCTGCCCTCGTGGGAGATGAGCCAGCCTTGTGCTCTGGAAGTGGGGAAGGTGTGCTTGGACTCATTCATTATTTTACAGACACTATTGTTTCTTTACTTGATGATTCTGGTTTTCCTTTCTCATTGTCTTTTTAGCAGCATCATGGCTAACACAGAGCCTTATTAAATACTGCTTATAAATGCAGCATAATTCTGAGTTCTGTGCAGACCTGCTAATTCCCAGCAAGAGGAGATGATGAGCCTTAGTTTCCAGATTTCTTATAAATGCAGAATCAAGCTACAGTTAAGTTGTGAGCGGAGTCACATTGGTTGCATTCTGCCTGTTTTCTTTGTGTTCAGGTTCAGTGTAAGAAAATAAGGCTCAAGAGGCTGGTGAAATGTGCAGCTGAGCCCTCTAAGCAGAGGGGACCTGCACTGGCCAGGGATAGCTGTCATTTGTGTCCTGAGCACAGGAGTGCACCCAGCCTGGCTCTGCACTGCCACCAGGCTGTGGCACACATGAGCCAGGGGAGCTCTTACAGCTCATTTCTATAGATATTAAACAACCAAAGAGTTTTATTGAAAAACCATTCAAGCTTGTCTAATACTAGTCCATGTTGCATTTATTTTCAGGGAATCATTAATCATTTATGTGCAATGACTTACATTAATACATTTTTAACAGTCACTAGGAAAATTACATCCCTGGCATTTCTGGTTTTACTTTTTTTCAGTGTGGAATATCATTAGTATGAAATTTGTGGTCAATATAAATGAGTGGAGGGATTGAGTCTATTAAGAGATAAAGCAGTTTTTATGTATTGCATGCCTTTCTTTTAAAGAGATTGTTATGTGCTCCCCACATTGTTATGTGCTCAATATACTCAATAGAATGCACCGAGGGCCAGCCTGAGTATTTAGGTTCTTTAAAATGTACCTTTTAGGCTCTCATAAATATCTGCTCTGTCATAATTCTCCATCTGAGAGATGGAGAAGTGTTGCAAATGGTGCATTCTCTTCACTTCTGCTTTTTATTTCGTTTTTCTACCTTGTGGTTCTTCTGTAACACTAATTAGTTCAGTAGAAAGAGAAGCAAGGTGGCCACAAATGGAATTTTACCACATCATCTTTAAAAGACCTTATTGAATGAGCCAAAGGATATTTTCATTGACTGAGGTTTCAGAATGTTGCCATAGATACAGCTTTAATCACTGGACAGGTTGAATTTAATTTTTTTTGAGAGAGAAATGGTAATCATATCTGAGGTGAAATGCAATATTGATTGGCTGCCCTGCAACTGCAGAATTGCTGGAGCTGTGTCACCTTCTTTATTGGGATTTAATGTTAAACAGTGGATTTGTGTCAAATACAGCAGTGGTCTGCAAAAGAAATGTTTCCCAAAGTGAAGTGGAAAAGAGAACTTGCGTTTTCTAATTGTGTGGTAAAATAGTCTGTTTGGAAATGGAAGCTTAAAATGTCTGTTTTCTTCCAAAGGAAACATTAGCAGTAAAAAAGTGGGTGGTGGACACTTTGCAAAGATTGAGAAGAATTGTGTGTTCCTGTGAGAGCTACTTTGGAGCCCCTGGTGTTGAGGCATCCATAACCTCTGTCCCCTGAATGGATTTTCTGGTGTCCAGTAGGGGAAGCTCAGCTTCTCAGTCCACGAGGATGTGTCACCTGCCTGCCTGAGAGCCTGAAACTGAGAGGGGTTTGGTGTCTTTGAGACTTCCAGGGCTCTCAAATGTGGCTGAGGTTAAGCTGATGAGCATAAGAAATGATCAGGGGAGGATGTAGGGGGTAAAGAGGACATGGAGTCACAGTATAATCCTGTAATCCTTGCTTCCTTAAGAATCCAGCCTTAATGTTTTGGCTTGCTGAATCATTTTGACTTGCTTCAGGCATTCTTATTCATACATCTCTCAGGTCTCATTGGTAGACTAGGAATTTGCTAATGAGGTGTCATATCTGAGGCTTAGGGCTTTTTTTTTTGGGGAGGGGGGGTTGCTTCTTTATTTGCAATTCCATTGAAAATTTGCTTAAACTTAATGATGTTCTGAGCCTCAGTGCAAACCATGTTTTTCAATCTGATCTCATCTTTTCCAAATGGCATCTCCAAACAGCTTTTTCTTACAGACCACACTTGGGTCTGCATGTGCATCATCTCAGGGGATGACTATGTGTCTGTCAAAGCATTTACAAGGCTGCTCTGGACACTGGAGAGCCAAGAACTTGTTTCTCCTTGTGCTCCTGGCATGCAGGCAGGCAGCAGCTGCCTCTCAATCCAAAGGCAAAGGAGCAGAGTGACCCTACTGTGGTAGGAATGGACTTTGGGCCTCTGTTGTTTCAGAACAACACCTCAGAACATCACCTGATAAAGCACCTCAAGAGCTTTGCTGCCATCAGCAAGTGAATATGTACCTGGGGCTCTGGAATTGCACTCTGGCATTTCCTGGGTATTTCCCTGCTGTCTAAGCAGATGTTTAACATGGACACTGTTCCTTCTTCATGTTATGCTTTATGTCAGTTCTGGTCAGCACAATGTCTGCTTTAACAAGGATGTAATTACTTATCGCAGAGTTGCAGGCTCATCTCTGGTTGAGCTGGGTTTTGGATGAAGACCCCTGCACAATCTGGAGGAGTGCTTTCCCCCCAGCTCTGCAGCCCTTTGGCTCAGCTGGAAGCGCTGGAACAGACCAGGGTCAATGAAAATACTCCCACCCCACCCCAAGCTGTGCCCTGCTTGCACGTTGTGCTGCATTTGCCAAGTGATCCTGATTCCCACAGGCCTCTGAAGTCTTGCACGAATGAGCTGGCACTGCTTGTGCTATTTTGGCATAAACTCTGCTTCCAAGTGTCAAACCCCAGTGACGGGGACATTTGATCATTCAGAAACATCTGTTTGGCTGCTGTGTTAGGGCTCTGTGTGGGTCACTCACTGCAGGAAGAAGCTCTTTATTCCTTAAAGAGGTGTCTGAGCCAAGAGCTGGCAAAGGGAGAGTTGGCTGGACCCAGCCAAAGGTGCCGGAAGAGACTCTGCTCTGAATTGCTTATTGATTCCTTCTTGCTGAATGACAGCATTCTTCCCCACTCTGGAAAAGATGTTTGCATTCCTGCCAAAGGAGAATTGGGGTTTGTGGGTATATTTTTCTTTTTCTTTGGCTTACTTTTTAATGAATTGCAGCATCTAGATAAATGTCATTAGCAAAACTTCTCTGCGTGCAGCAGCTTTGTCTGTTTTCAAGGAGCTCTACATCTCCACTGCATGGGCCAGCATCTACATCCAGGGGAAAAAACAAACAGCCAGGCCAGTGGTGGGAATTTGTCTGTGTGGAAGCTCAAGCTCTCCCCAGCATAAAGGTGAAGGAAAGGCAGTATCATGGAGAAATAGCTGTGCTCTGCTGCTTCCTGAGCTGATGGTGCTGCCCGTGTCCACAGCTGCCTTTTATCCAAGAGGTTTTATAGAGGTATAAATCTTTCAACATCTGCAGTGTGACTCACTCCTTCCCTCTGGCAGCCTGGGTGTTTGACCCAGTAAGAAAGCTGGGACCACAAAGGAGGATTTATTGTCCTATTCCAGCTTATGGATTCACTGTAGAAGCCTTCTGGTGCATATAAGCAGGCAGGTAAAAGGAGGCACTCTGAGGAAGATAGCACTGGAAAAGGAGGCCTGGGTGGTGATAGTCAGAGGTCAGCACTGGCAGCATATTCAGCCAGGCCTGCCCCACTTTGCTGTCATTTTTCTTCTCATAAAGGAAAGAAAAGTGTAGATATGGGCCTCCCTCTGTCACCTCTGGAGTTTAACACCATGAGACAGCATCAAACTGCTGCAGAGCTCCAGAAATGCAGGGAATCTCTGGGCTGCCCCTCGCACTGCAGCCATTTTCCAAAATAGTTTCTTGTCCTTCCCACAGCTCCTCCATCCTGCTCCACCACTGCAGCTCCTTCACACTGATATCACCAAAGTAAAATTTCCAGCTTCATTATTAGCATCCAGTTAGCTGAGCAAGCAGGAATTCTGACTGAGGATTGTGCTGGGAACAAAGGACAGGTCAGGCTGCTTACGCTCAAGGGACAGAAAGCAGCAGTGCTGGGGAGCGTTTGAGATTCAGAGTACATTTAATTAGCTGCACAGTCACATCTGCTTTTTGTTCTCCCTATGGACTGGGAGAAATACTGTGTGTTTGCATTTCCTAACTGACAGCCCAGCCAGGAGATATTTGGACATTTCTTGATCTTGTTTTGTGTACCAGTGCCTTGCACTTAACTCTGCAAATGCTGGCTCCCCCAAGCTCTGCCTGGGCACCCCAAGTTGCTCTGTGCTGTTCTGCTGGGGGCTGCTGGTCAGCTGCACTGCTCCAGCCATGCCTGGGGCCCCTCCCCTGCCTCTGGAAAATGCCCCTTGATTCACCCGGGCTGCTGGTCAGCTGCACTGCTCCAGCCATGCCTGGGGCCCCTCCCCTTGCTTCACCCACCTGCAGGGCTGCCCTGCCTGGGGCTGTCACCCCACAGTGAGCAGCCTGTCCATGGTCCCCGAGGTTACCAGTGTGACAGGATCAAGGTGTAGCCATGGTAGTCCTGGCCTGCAGCTCTGATGGAGAAGCCTGTGACTTTCACACTCTGTCCCTGGGGCTCTGGGGCAGATTGCCACGACATGGTGCAACAAAGCACAACAGGGCCACCCAGCAGGAAGCTGCTTTTTCTCTCTACAGGCACAAGTCAAGCAGAATGTGTGCATTTTCCAAATATAAACTACTTCCGGTCACAGCACTTGTAACTACTGGGTTTACTTGGGAGGTGGGTGCACCCTCTGCTCTTCATCTGCTCTTGTGTAATTCACTTTATCTTCAGTTGTGCACAGGCAAAGCACAAGGCTGTTTCTAACCCCCGAGCACACAGGCAGTGTGCAGAGGAAATCACAGGTACCTTGGGACTGAACTGTCAGGGGTGTGATGCAAATCACAGCCTCAGAGTTCATTTTCTGAGCAAATGAGGGTGCACTTGGCCGTGGCAGACCTTGATCCCTCAGCCAGCTGGCCATGAACTCTTCCACCGTGACAGGCGCCTGGGGTGAGCCCCAGACGTGCCCCACTGCCATCGGTGGGTCCAGCCTTACCTTGCATCCCCAGCAGGAGGGGCTGGCAGCTGCACCCCAACCCCAAGTTCTTTGCAGGGGCCCAGAGGGGCTGCTGGGCACTGGACCAGCCGGGGGCCAGACACCGACGTGCGTTCCCAAGATGACGCAGCAGCAAAGACGACAAAACAGCTCAGTTTGATCCACACAACTATTTCTTTTTTTAATTATTAACTTGTGCCTTACAATAGAAGAGGAAAGAGTGCGAGCAAACAATTTGCTGGTTCCAGGAACTACTCTGGCAGCACCGCAAGGGCAGCGAGGTCTGGTGCTGATAACCCTGCCGGGGCACTGACACACCACGCGCGGCGTCTCCGGCTCTTGCAAAAGCGATCGCTGGCAATTTAAGGCATTGAAGGAAACCTATGGTTGTTAAATCCTATATCAAATTTGGCACACATTGGAACAGTTGGAGCGGAGACAAGGATGCTTTGCGGGCTGGTGTTCAGGAGTCCTGCAGCTTCCCAGTGCTGGCTAGGGCACGATGCTAATAGGCACGCAGGGTTTTCATGTGAAGACTGTGCAGCCTAACAAGGAGCCCTCAGAGCCTCGTATTTAGCATAGTGGTGCCTTCACCTCCAGTGTAGCAGTTCCCTGCCCTGTGCCTGCTGCATGTGCCTGGCTTGACTAGTGCTGTCAGAAAACAAGATCTGTCAGTACAAAGAAAAAGTAACATTCCTTATAGTTCAAAACATACGTGGCTGAGATCAGATGTCAGGTGCAGTTACAGTCCAGTATGGCTATTTCTGTGCTTCTAGGGGATGGCTACATTTTGAGGAGTGGGAAGTTTAGCTGTACATGGATTTGGATAATTGATGAAACTAGTTACAGTAAACATGTTGAGTTGTTTCCCTCCCCTCCTGGGAGAGCTGGCTCAGCAGCCTTCCCAGCCGGCTGCCCCTCGCCCGCCGCAGGAGGAGAGGGAGCGTGTTACGAGTCCATGTGCCACCACCACAATGACCAACATGCATCTCTAGCTACCTGTCCTGTGTGCCCCCACCCCATTTAAAAGGGAGCAATGTGCCAAGCTCGGCCTCTGTGTGGCAGGACCCGCAAGGAAGCCATCCCTGGTTGGTGTCCCCGAGGGGGTTTGTGTTTTTAAGGGAGGCTTCCTGCGAGCCCAGTGCAGCTTTGTGCCCAGAGGAGCAATTTCAAGGCCGAGTGGAGACTGTTCCCCCTCAAATGCTTGTGAACAGGGTCCTGATGGTTACATCTTTGCATTGGCAAGGATTCCTCCATGCAGGTTTAACCTCCCTCTTTTCTTGACAGAGGTTATGGTCCCCTCAATCACCTCAGCCCTGCTGGATGATATTTTAGAGGTCACTTTAATAACCTCTCCTTGCTCCTCCTCTTTGAAGGACAGAGTAGAGGAACTAAAGCTCCTTGGCTGGAAGGAATAAGTGGGGCTGGGGAGGGAATTGAGAGATGGAAGGCCGCCACTTCCCATGTTGAAGAGGGTCTCCTCTCCCTCCAGCAGCTTCCTGCAAGCACAGCACAAGGGAAGAGGTTAGTATGGAGATGTGAAACATCTGCAAAACTTGAGAGCATGTTGTGCCCTGCAGACAAGTCCAAGCCACACACAGTTCACACTGCACCATGAAACTGAGTCAAAATCATATTTTGGTCAACCATTTCTGGAACACTTGCAATATGGGGTACATGAGAGCAACTTTCTCCCTTCTTTCCTCTCCAGAAACAACAGGAAAATAAATACCCGAAGCACAGTCTTTTGCATCTACTTTTAACTTTGCAAGAGAAACAATTTTCCAACCCCAACTGTCCCCATTAAAAAATACTGCTTCTGGGATGGCTGAGGGAAGTGGTTCACAGCTGCTAGATCAAGGCAGGACATGGAGCCATGGCTGCTCCCAGGCAGGAGTATGGCAGATCCAGGTGGGGGAGATGAACAACATGCTTGAAGTGCTCCTGGAGTGTGTACCCAAGTATTTTCTGGGCCCTTGAAAATACCACAGCCTAGTGGGGTCAGGGGATTTGGCTTGGGAAGTGTCCTGGTAGAGCAGGAATAGAGCAGCCTTACCTGTAGGCAGCTATCTCAATATCAAGGGCCATCTTGACATTGAGCAGGTCTTGGTACTCCCTCAGGTGCCGAGCCATCTCATTTTTGGTGTTCCGCAGGTCATCCTCCAGCTGTCCAATGGTGTCCTGCAAATGCAAGGGTGCTCAGCCCTGTGTTTTGGAGCAGGGACTTATCCCACAGTCCCACTCTGCTCTGCCCTTTGTAGAGACAGGGAAGTTGCAATGGACAATTGGTCCATGGTGGCACATCCCACCAGGGGCTTGGGACCATGAAATCTCATGCCAGCAGGGATGGAGAAGCAGGCAGAGCACCAGGCCTGGCTTGTGAGAGTGTGCAGTGGGGGAGGCTTTAGCCATTGATGGATTCATGTAGTTTCCCATCTGCAGTGGGGTCTGTGAGATGGGCAAATAGTGCATGGTGGTGGGACCCCTCAGTCCTGTGGGGGGACAAGGCAGGCTGCTACAGAGGGAAGTCTTGGGCTTAAATGTCTTCAAAGTAGAGGCAGTGGCTCAACCAGACAAGTGAAAGCACCCTGCACTGCAGCAGCTGAGAAGAAAAGCTGCAGTCTGCATCTGCAGGGCTTAAGATGGGTTGGGACATGCTTCCAGGAGGTGGAAGGAGAGGTGCTGCTGCCAGGGGTCCCCTCCAGGTGGGGAAGTCTGTCACCTTCCTGGGAAAATGCCTCAGAGCCTCAAAGTGGGGGATTCTCAATGCAGGGATTTGGGGAGATTACAGAGACAGGGCCTGCCCTGCAAGCGCCAGGGTGCTCAGCTGGACAATGTCCTTCTAGCATCCTTCCTGTCAGCTTTGCTGCCTTTTGTCCCTTATAACCAGTTTTACCTGTGATGTGGAGGACTCCAAGGCCAGAATTCCTGCTAACAAAGGAGACTTTGATATTTTCTTCTATTTTTTTTCTCAGAAAACAAGCAGTCTGTATTTTTCCCACCTGCATCTAGGTATCTAAGTAGCAGCTTGAAAGCAGTGAAACCTGCTCCCATAAGGCTCTTCCCAGTCAGGTTTCCCGCTGCCAGCTGCCCCATTGTGCCACCAGAGGAGCGTGATTTGGAACAGGAATGAGTCAGCAGTTTGCACTTAAGCCACGATGTAGCCCTGCCTACAGAGCCCTGCAGTGGCCACTGCCCACCTCCACTCTCCTGCATCCCCTCCCAGAGTCAGGACTTTGCAATTACTTCCAGATCCTCTGTTCCAGCAAACGATCTCTGTCCTGCCACATCATCTTCATCTTGACCCCTTCCCACTCCTATCATGTCCCCACTTCCTCTCCTGTCTAACCTTCCTCGTGAACAGTGCAGAGGCAATCAAAGCAGGTGGAGCTGCCCACGGAGCAGGGAGCTGTGCTCACACTGATGCAGTGGGCTCCGTTTGAGCAGAGCCCCTCAGAGCAGCAGCTCATCCTGAATGCAGCACAGAGCTCGTCACAGTCGGATTAGCTGGGCACAGCCAGCCTTGCAGGATACTCAGGAGCCATCCTTGTGGTCTCTGCCTTGCCCTGTGTGCCCTGACCATTTTCACAGCAAAAGATCTGCAAGAAGCTGTGCCTCTGAGGAGATCATTGGGGCATTGACTGAGAAGCTGCAGGACATGGCTGCTGCTGCTGTAGGGGTTAAAGCCTCTGCTCCAGTGCAGACAGACTGCCGCTGCACCCAGCCAGGGCAGGAAGGAATGACTTGAGCTCATCCCCACCCTGGGACAGCTCCACTCTTGCTGCTGTGACTCTTTGTGCCTCCAGTCCTCTTCCCTCTGCCTGTAGTCCACATGAACAAAAAGCTCTTTCAAAACTGATTGTCCTTGTTCCTGATCTGCATCTCTCTTCCACAACCCAGCTCTGCCAGCTGGTAGAATAAAAGTCCCTTCCTCACACTACTGCAAACCTGTCCCCTAACAAAAAGCTCTTGCAGGTTGGTTCAGATTTGACTGGGCAGCCCACAATTATAGACATGCCTCTGCTTTAGCAGGATCATTTTGAAAGCTCAGACAATAGGAATATTCTCTTTTAAGACACACTTCCAACCTTGTCCACTGTTTGCAGCCAAGGAAATTACTTAGCTGATACCCATACACATTGCTCAATGGACTTTTAAGTATTGCTACACATAAAGTAGATCCTGAGGGTCATATATAAAAAAGCACTGCTATGCTGTCACTAAAGCAATTTCAATTATGGTGCTGTTTAATCCAGTTGTTTAATTTTTTTTTTCTCCAATTGATAGGTTGCTCCCAGGACCCCTCTTTCAAATGGCATAAAGAGTATTTAAGAAGATTACTGTGTATAATGTTTTAATTATGGATAATATTTTAATTGCCTATTTCCACAAAAATTGTTGACCACCTCAATTATTCAGGAAGCTTGCAAGCAGCTTGGAACAAAGTCACGAATTCTAGAGCGCCTGGCAAAATTTGGCCTTGGAAATGACGAGGCATTACTTGGGTCCTTCACGTATGATTAAAGCAGTTGTTTCAGTATTTAGAAGGAAATGGCTTGATTTAGAAACCACAGATCATTTAACAGCCATATAATAGAACAATCTCATGATTCATTTTATTATAAATCATGAACATTTCCCTGTAGCAAGAAAATGTGGCAATACTGCACTAATGGAACAAGAGATATGGAGCACTCAGTGTCTGCCTCACATGAGTCTTTCCACAGACATAAAAAATGCTGGGATCTGTCTGCCAGTCCAGACTTAATCTTTGCAGAGCTCCAATTTCTGCAGTGCAGGTGCCAAGAGCTAGCCCACAGGGCAAAGGGCCAAGCCTGGGCAGACAGCTTCGAGGAATTGCCCACAACGATGTGTAGGCAATTTTGGACCTGATCCTTAAGGGACAGGGCCGGGATGGATCGATTCCCCAAACAGCACTACCGTGTGCAGGATGTCCCCTGCGGGAAGGGAGCTTTGGGAGGGGTGTGCCAGCCTGCTTCCCCAAAATCTGCCCTGTGCAGTTTTGCCTCTGCATAAAGGGTGAAGGCAACAGGCAATGCCGTGGTGGGGCAGGATCTGCGTGCAGGGCAGAGAGGCACAGTGCTGGGTGGTGGGAAGGCTGCAGGGATGCCTGGCGCTGCGCAGCGCTGCAGGGGCACTGCCTGCATGGGTGGTGCTGCACTGCCTGCATGGGTGGTGCTGCACAAGGCAAGGGGGGTGGGTGCCGTTCTGTGCTGGGGGTGTTCGTGTGGCGTGGCACTGATGGGGACAGTGCAGGCGATGGTGCTCAGCGATGTGGGGCACTGCTTGGGGCCGGGGGGTCCAGCACTGCACAGAACTGCGGGAGGGGCTGCTGCAGGGGACACAGCTGCGCTGCAGCATCTCGCAGGCCGCGACGATGCTCAGCGCTGCAGGACCAGGGCAGGGAGCGTGCGGGGACGCAGGCACCGGTACGGCACCGCGCCGGGTGCGTGCGTGGGATGAGATTCCCGGTGCTACACATTACAGGGGGTGGCCGCTGGGATGGATGTGCCGACATGGTGCGGATGGCGCGGGAGGAGGATGCTCGGTGCCGCCCAGTGCCCGGCGCTGCCCGGTGCCAGGGGAGGGCACGCTGACGGTTCCCGGCGCCGCCCGGCTCACCTGCAGGCCGGCGGCCTCGGCGTTGTGCCGCTCCTCCAGCTCCTGCAGCTGCCTCTCCAGGGACTGGTGAGCGCCGCGCAGGCTCTCCATCTCCACCAGGCGCGCCTGGAGCTGGCGGCGGCACTCGCCGGCCTCGCGGCGGCTGGCGCGCACGGCCTCCTGGCTGCGGGCCGCCCGCTCGTGCAGGCGGGCGCAGCGGGCGCGGTACCAGTCCTCGGCCGCCTGCAGGTTGCTGCCTGCTGC